GCATTCCCTCAGGCTACGGAACTGCTGCTCCTCTGTCCACTCAACAGACATCTGAGACCACCACGCTGGGGACCCAGAGACGGACTCTGCCCATTGGGGGCGAGACACACAGAGATAATACCAGGCACCCAGGAGGGCTGCCCGGAGGCCCAGCAGACACGCTCGGTGGCTTCCTGGTAGAAGCGGCGCTAAAGCCCACCCCTGAAGGCCAGGCTCTCGGCCAGTGTGGATCGCTGTGTGGTCCAGTACTGTCACGTGTGGTCTCTTCAGCCCAGTCCAATGCCAAGCTGCCCTCAAGGAGCTAGGAGGCCCCCCCTCAGCCACCACACTCCAGGGGACCTTTCTTTCTGTCCCCCAAACCTTGAGCATCTTCCTGCCCTCAGCTCTGCACTTGGCTGGCTCGTTCCCATCCCTCAGGGCTCCCCTTGAAGCCAGCGGCCCAGAGAGGCCTCACGCCAGCCGCAGCCGGGGGTCGTGCCGTGTTGGCGTGGGCTGTGCCCGGGGAGCCTGTGTGCCTTATGGGCCAGGGACCGAGTCTGTGCTGCCCATCAGTTCTGACCTGGGCTGGCTCCCTAGTGCTCGCTGAGCAGTGTCTACTGGCAGTGGGTGGGGGGGATCGGGCTCACTCAAGTTCTGAACTCACTTTGCTGAACTGAATAAAATGGGGGGGGGGGGCGGGGCTCTAAGAACCTTTTGTATCCCAACCTCCTGCTCCATTAGCGGGAGGCAAAAATTAGTGCTGAAAACACACTCACTGGGGGCTGGCTGGGAGACCCCGCCCCACACAAGGATGAAAACGGGAAGGGAGTCCCTCTCCAATCTTCCTAGGCCAGGCCTCCCCCTAATGCCCGGGCTGGAGCCTCCAGTCTCAGGGGGACTGGGCCCCCTCCCTGCCTCCTGCTCTGCGCCCAGCCCAGCGCCTCACCTGGCTTCTTCTTGGCGGCCTCCTGGATCTGGATGCGCTCCAGCTCCGCCAGGCAGGGGGGCTCTGCAGGGACAGAACCGCCGCTGAGGGGCTGCCCCCTGGGGCTGGGAGGATGCGCTGTGCCCCCTCCCCAAGGCTTAGAAACCCAGGCAGGGGGCTCTGCAGGGTGAAAATAGCCAAGTCGGACCCGGAGCCACCCCACAGGGGGTGGGGGGATGCACTGATCCCTTTAACATCCCGAATTTGACACAGGGGCACCACGAGGCAAATGCCCAGGCTCCAACGGGGGGAGGCCATTCCAGGGCTGTGGGGTAGGCTGAGGCCCCCAAGAGGCCAAGGGTGACCCATGGGGTGAGTTAATAGGATTCAAAAGAGGGGTGAATGCACACATTCCCCACAAGTATGGGCCCCAGGGGAACATAAGACAAGAGGGGATGTGAATGGGAAGCCTGAAAATCACTGGCAGCCAAATCTAACTTGTCTGTGACCGTGGGAAGACCCCGAGCCCTTCCAGCGGGAGGCCCGGCTGAGGGTGAAATGAGACCTGTTCCCAGGCTCCTGCCCAAGGCTGGTGCACAGAATCGACAGAATGAGCGTCGGAGGCCTGGGGAGTAGAGGCCTGGAGGGGGCAGCGATGCAGATAGCGGGAGGCTGGGCAGTTAGGGGCAATCAAATGATCCAAAGCCCCCGCTCGGCCGAGGGGTTTGTCCGTCGCACAGCGCTCTGCGCCCAGATGGTCTCAGCCCATCCTCACAGGGGTCTCTGAGGTGGGTCTTTCCTGTCCCGAGTCAGAAGGTTCGTCACCTGCCCAGGTTCCCCGCCAGCACATGCAGGAGCCCGGGCGGAGCCTGAGCCTCGGCCCCGGACGCTGTGCTGCTGTGACCCCACGAGCACCAGGGAGCCAGCAGGGCACCAGCGCCTCCCCAGGGGCTGGGCGGGGCAGCTGTCCCCGGGGGACCTCAGCTTCCTCATCCATGGCAGCTGCCACTTGGCCTAGATCATCTCTAGCAGGTGTTTGTGGTTCAGCAACTGATGCAACATCTCTGAGGCTAAGGATCACACAGTGGAATCATGGAGAAGCCCAAGTCCCAAGTTGCTTTAGCTTCAGGCCCTTCCCGCCCCTTCCAACACCCTCCACGGGTCCCCAGAAATGGTACATGGATCGTTGGTAACGCTCTTCCTTTAAGAAGGCGAACTGCATAAGCGTCAGGACTCACCTGGCAGCCTGCCAAGGAGGGAGTTTACGTGCTGGCCTCACTGAGAGAGTCCAGGGGCGGGTGGGCTGACCGGGACAGAGCCCCTCCGACCCCACAGGGAGCCTGGGGCGGGGGCTGAGCCGGGGGCGGGGGGCCGGGCCCAGCCAGGGCCACACTCACTTTCCCTCCAGAAGCAGAGGCACCACTCGGCGGTGGAGACATGGCCGTCCTTGTAGGTGTCGCAGGAGTTGAAGAAAGGGCGGATGCAGACCTCGTACTTGTCCAGGTTGATGGCGGCCAGCTCCGTCTGGTCCAGGAAGAGGTCGGCGCTGGTGTCCAGCTTGGAGAACATCCAGCCGATGGAGTCCTTGCAGCTGGCCCCCAGGACCTTGTCCAGGCCTGGGGAGAAGACCAAGGTTCCACCATGCTCAAGGTAAAGCCCCGCCCATCCGTCCATCCATCATCCGTCCATCTGTCCATCCCTCCACCGCTCCCAGCCCCAGCCCTCTGTTCAGGCCAGATCCGTCCCTCTGCCTCCACCTAGAACTGCACCGAAACCATCAAAACCCTGTTTGAAAGCCCTTCAGAGAAAATAATTCCTTACCTGCTCTTGGCTACATTTCAGCTCTCCCTACCAATTTTTGTGGTTGTTGTTAATCCTCACCCAAGGACATTTTTTCCACTGATTTTCAGAGAGAGTGGAAGGGAAGAGGGAGAGGGGGGACATCGCTGTGAGAGGGACACATTGAGTGGATGCCTCCTGCACACACCCCATCCGGGCCGGGCATCTAACCTGCAATCCAGGTACATGCCCTTAACCAGGAATCAAACCCACAACCCTTCAGTGCCCAGGCCAGTGCTCTAACCACTTAGCAACACCAGCCAGAGCTCTCCCTACCCATTTGAAGAAGTTCTTTCTGCCCAGCCAGTGTTGCTACGTAGTTGAGCATTGACCTATGAACCAGGAGGTCACGGTTCAATTCCTGGTCAGGGCACATGCCTGGGTTGTTGGATCGATCCCCAGTGGGGGGTGTGCAGGAGGCAGCCGATCAATGATTCTCTCTCATCATTGACGTTTCTATCTCTCTCTCCCTCTCCCTTCCTCTCTGAAATCAATAGAAAAACTTAAAAAAAAAAAAATACGTTCTGCCCTAACTGGTTTGGCTCAGTGGAGAGAGCATCGGCCTGCGGACTGAAGGGTCCCAGGTTCGATTCCAGTCAAGGACATGTACCTTGGTTGCGGGCACATCCCCAGTGGGAGGTGTGCAGGAGGCAGCTGATCGATGTTTCTCTCTCATCGATGTTTCTAGCTCTCTATCCCTCTCCCTTCCTCTCTGTAAAAAAAATCAATAAAATATATTTTTAAAAAAAAAGACGTTCTTCCTATTAGCTAACCTGAATCTTTTGCCCCTGTTCTGAGGTTTAGGCTCTTTTAGGGGCTCAGAGTCTAGCAGGAGGGAGCACAAGTCGAGCTGGCCCCAGGGCACACCTATCTCCCCACCTCCCACCTCCTCCCAGGCAGAGCAACGGGCTCCTGTACCACTGGCCGGGCCGCCTCCGCTGCTGGCTGAGCCGTTCTGCTTGGAGTTCTCATGGAGGAGCTGGAACCAGTCCCTCAGTCGATCCCCCAGGTCGGCCAGGTCCTGACCCGTGCAGGTCTCTGCAGGACAGAGTGGGGGCGGGGGGAGAAGCATGATCTTAGCTTGAGATGCTGCCCTCCAGGCCAGGAGGCGGGCAGCTGTCAGGGATGCTGTAGAAAGGGAGCTAGAAATTGGAGGCTCCCTCCCCGCCCTCTCCCACCTTCTTCCTGCCCCTCACTCCCCAGCACTAAACACACAGCATAGGCTCCCTGTGGCTGCGGCCCAAGCCCTCCTGCTCTGTTAACCAGCCAGCTCACCCCCAGGCCTGGCCTTGCTTGTGCCACTTCTCCCTGCTGCTCTGCAAACCACCCCGGAGCCCTGGCGGGGAGACCCGGCCTGCCCACCCTGGCTGTGGCCCGGCACTCCGCATTACCTGCTTTGCCATCCGTGGTGGAGCCGGTGGCCTGTTCCGTGGGGCAGGGGCAGGGGCCCTCACATCTCACGGCCAGCTGCTTGCTGCTCAGACAGGCCTGCTGTTCCAGCTTACACTGCTCAAGGCGAAAGGTCAGTGGGTGATGGGGCCTCACCCCAGGGTGCCCTGCAGCTGGGGGCATCTACTTGGCAGCCACATCTGCCTTCCCCATGGCTGACAGGAGGACAGCACCCATGAACAGCCCACCTGGTCCCTCTGGTGGCCAAGGGCGCACAGTGCAGGGGCAGCAGGCCCAGGAAGGGCTTAGCAATGGAAGGCGCCCAAGAGCCCCACTCTGCACCAGACTGCCCTCTCTGCACCTTTCTCTTTCCCAGGACACCCATGTCCTCATCCTCTCACCCCCAGCCACCCACCTGCCCTGTTTAGCTATTGCTCACCCTCTCTTTGCTCTCACGGCCTCTCCTCCCGCTCACCCCAGTCCCTTGGTCCCCGGGTCACTGGCTGCTGGCCCCCTCCCTCAATGGCCTTCCCACGCCACCTCCATGGGCTTTGCTCAGCTCTCTTGACAACAAACAGCTGCGGCTATCGAACATCTGCTAATTCTTGAGCTTTCACTGAAATCACTGGGCTGCAGCTGTTAGCCAACGCCAGCTGCTGAGGGACGCCCCCACTCCTTGCTCTTAAAGCTTTCCCCTGGTGGTGTCTGCGCAACTCGAGATGGGCGGAGCGCTGTCTCCAGCATTATCTCGCGTGGTCCCTTCAGCTCTGGGAGAGAACTGTGTTTCTCGTGCTCAGCAGAGAGCATGGGAGCTCAGAGAGGCCCAGGGCCTGGGATGGAAGCCAGACCTCCTGGTGCCTCTACCTCCCACAGGGCAGCACCCTGACCCTCAGACCATAGCCCTCTCCGACTCCCACGCCCTCTGTCAGCCCCTGTCTCCTTGGTCTCCCCCTGCCTTCTCGGTGCAGCTCCTGGCCTCAGCCTCCAGCTTTATTCTCTCCCCTCCCTCCCTTAAAGGGTGACTTCATCCCCACCCTACTTCACTCATCACCCACAGGGAGGGTGGACCGGTTCTTAAATCTGCACATCTCCCCCAAAGGGGTCTTAAGCCCTAGATCCCAACCCAAGCCAACAGTCAGCGTACTCCAAACTCCCAACTCCTCGTGGCTGCTAGAAGCACTCACAGTTAGCACCGTACTTCCATGGCCTTTTAACGTTTATAAAATGCTTTCACAGACATTGTATCATTTAATCCTCACAAAATCCCATAAGGTGGGAATTCCTTCCCACATCGTCACCTCCTGGAAGGGTAATTCCTCTGCCCCAGGATGCCCAGGCTCGCTGGTGAGCCCCATCCCCTCCATGTGGAACCTGCTGGTGGAGAGCTGGTCCTTCTCTGGGGGTCGAAGGACCCTTTCACAGGGGTCGCCTAAGACCATCGGAAAACACATATATAATTACATATTGTTTTTGTGATTAATCACTATGCTTTAATTATGTTCAATTTGTAACAATGAAAATACATCCTGCATATCAGATATTTACATTATGATTCGTAACAGTAGCAACATTACAGTTATGAAGTAGCAACGAAAATAATTTTATGGTTGGGGGTCACCACAACATGAGAAACTGTATTAAAGGGTTTCGGCATTAGGAAGGTTGAGAACCACTGCTCTAACTCCTGTCACCTGCCCACCTGCTTCTTCCAAGCCCCGCCCCCTGCCTGCACCTGCCTGAGACCTGGGGCAGGGTCTGGTGCAGACCCTCGGTAGCCCCAGCCCAGGGCTCAGGTGCTCCTGCTCTGATTGGCTACATTGAATGCAGGACCCCCATCAGCCCTGGGAGTCCCTCTGGAGGCCCCGATGGCTGTTCAGTCCTCTGTTCCCTGTGGCCTCAAGTGCATCCCACCCCCATCCCCGTGGGGCGAGGGTTCCTCACCACGGAGCTGTAAGTGTGGCCGTCAGAGCCGCAGACGGAGGCCAGCTGGGCCATGTGGCAGGGCTTGCAGGCGGTATCTTTGTTTGCGTGGAGTTTCAGGGCAGGCTGCTTGATCCTACAGGAGGAGAGGGGTGGGGAAGGCATGGGATAGAGGTGAAAATAAGAGAGGGCCAGGGAGAGAGAGGGCTCAGGAGACGGGTCCCAACAAGAACTGGTCCCGGCAATCCAGAGTAGATGCAGCTGTGCCCCTGCCCGCGCCACCCACCCCGTCACCTCCAGCCAGACCCTCCTGCTCACATGGCATAGACTCCCCTCCCCTTTGTGGGGTTACTGAGTCAGCAGGGCCTTGGGGCAGCAATTCCAGGCCCTGCTGTAAGACGTAAAAGGGGGTCACACTTCGCTTAAGGGGTCAGACCAAATCAGAGGTTGCACACTGATGGCCCATACGCCGTATCTGCCTTGCAGACTCATTTTATTTGGCCATCAAAGTTTGTGTTTTTAATTGAATTATATACAAAATAGAAGAGTTCTCATAAAAGGCTGCATTCCTGGCCTTTCACCACTGGGCATTCTGCAAAGTGTGACAGTCCTGGTCCCAAGTTCCCACACAGCCCTAGTCATCCACGCCCCTGCCACAGGGCCTGGGCTCGCTGGAGTGGCCCGTCACTGGGCTCTCTTCACAGGTTACACTGCCTGCCGGGCCCCTGCGGGCAGCTAAAGCTACCCCCAGGCCCCTGGTCTCTGATTCAATGATTAAGAAAA